CCCCAAAACCCCAAAACCCCAAAACCCCAAAACCCCGAGGATGGGGGATTTAGTTGAGTAATAAAATGGAAGAAGGGGTGTTTATGGTGAGAGTGGCTGCTCAAGCGGAGAGGTATGAAGATGCAGTTGATTTATTAACAAAGGCCTTGCAACTATCTCAGAAAGATGCATCCCCAGAGGTTGTAGGTATGGAACAGGAATTGGTATTATTTCTCCAAATTACTTGTTTAGTTTGGCTTATAAATGTATGATAATATTTGCAAGATTCTGAATAATTGCTTATTAAGCTTTGCTTATGCCACAAATACAAACTATTGAAACCTTACTTTTACAAAGATTCTAGTAACTTTTTACCCTTTGTTCCTCAAATTTATACAGAGCTTCTTTCTGCTACCTTCAAAGACTTCATCAGCTCTGAGAGATCAGCCTGGAAAACAGTCAAAGCCATAGAGCAGAACAAAAAGTATGCAGAGTATGCGCCAGACTTAGCTGAGTATAAAGATAAAATCAGCCTCGAACTTGACCACAAGTGCCGGCAAGTCATTGACATTATTCAAGAGCATTGTCTGTCAAAGGCTACCACTGATGACTCTGAGGGGAGTTGCACCTCTAAAGTGTTTTATCTGAAACTGGTTGGAGACAACTACAGATACATTGCTGAGACAGCTTCTGGGCCAAGGCGAGACAAAGCCATTGAGAAAGCTGATAGCTTCTATAGGCAAGCCACTGATTTCTCTAAGGCTCTCCATCGATATAACTCCAGCAGGCTTGGGTGTGGGCTAAACTATTCGGTAATCGTTGCAACTATTTTTAGGTATTTTGGTATGAAATCATGGAGGATAAATCTAAAGCTTTACAAATTGCAGAAGAAGCTCTAGAGGAAAGGAGAGAATATATATGACAGGATGATTCAGACGAAGTTCGAGACTCTCTCCCCATTCTTGAACTTTTGAGAGAGAACATTGATATATGGAAAGAAGGTGAAGATAGCCTTTATTAACATTTAATTACAGTTTTAACCAGTATTGTATCACTTATCAGCTTCAACCAAACTTCTTGGTTGAGGGGTTTTGGGGTTTTGGGGTTTTGGGGTTTTGGGG